ACATTTTAAAATTACTCTGTGCAAACTCCTCTGCTAAATTCTCCTTTAGTTTAAAATATTTACTATCAATAATTCATTTACATAAATCACCTTATTTCTTTAAAAAAAATTACCATTAAAAAGGGAAAAAAAGGAAAAAGGGCTCTTTGCTTTGCTGTCTGGATCAAAAGGAAAAAACACCAAACTCAATAATAACTTTGTCTTCTCTTTAAAAAGTTTATCAGCTTCTCAAACCGATCGACCTCTGCTACCAATTTGTTGGGTAATGAGATTAAGAAAAGACAAGGTATATAAATTATCAACCTTTATATCAAAAGAAAAACTTAAACATAAAATATATCTTCAACAATACAAAAGTAACAACAAAGAATATAAACAATATAATATAAATATACCAGATAGCAGGGAATAAGCAGTGAGCTAAAAAGGTAAAATCAGGAAAGCAGCAGAACAAATAAGAGGAAGGATGCTTCTCTTATACAGAGTTTGCCACCTGATTCTAATAGTTCACAGCAAAAACAATCTCTATAGTTAATACTGTTAAAGTGCAAATGTCCAACAAAGATCATTTCGATTTTATATTGATTTTTAATATATTGTGAGCCCTCTCAAAAGTGGGATATAAATGAACGCAAGTATAGCAACTGTGGCTTGTTTTCTCTTTCCTTGTACTGATTTTTCTGGAAAGAAAAATGGAACTAAGGAAGGGCACAAATTCAGATCAAGTGCCCAAAGAATATTCTGCAAATTTGAATTGTGCTGGAAGAATTTATTAATCATTTTGAGAAGTAGCTTTAATATTTAAAACTTTAGTAATAGCTTCAACCAGCTGCATCTGACAAGTCCTCTTAAAGAAAATAAATTATGGGAGTATTGGTGGCTTCCTAGTGGAAAGGAGGAGATGCTGAGAGAGGATGTAGTCCCATTCTGTCTCCTGCTTACAGACTGAAGTAGGGGGTTTTGAGGCCAAGCCAGAAGAATCATGGGCCCCATCACAGGAACACCGTATAAATGTCATTGGTTGCTACAAGTCGCCCTGAAGAGCCCTGCTGTAAAGATGATAATGCTGACTCTTGACTCTAAATGTGACAGAGAAACTTTATCTTCTGCGCTTGTGAAAGGTGTATTCTAGTTCCTTTTTCTGCTGTTCTTTGGAATTCCTCATTTATACATTTCTTTAGATGGAAAGGTTGCTGTTCACTTGACAGAGGAAATAATTTTGCAAACAGGCACCATCTAATGAAAGAAGATGACACCAAATGTCCATGAACTCTTTGGAATTTTAAGGATTTTGTTGAATAGAAGTCCCACTGATTTGGAGAAAGTCATGTGCATTCCCCCCCCCCCCATATGGTTTCCCTTCATTTCAGTAATTCTAATCTAAGCTTATTAAATCTGTCTTGTTATTAAAGGCACAACTAATATGTTGGCTATAAGCAGCGTATTAGTTTTGCATCTGTCCCTGTTTGCAAACAAGTTTGTGCCTACCTAAAGCAAGAATGGGTAAAGAACTTTTTTAAAACAGTTTTTTTTATGATGATGATGATGATGATCATCATCATCATCATCATCATCATCCCCAGAAGACTGCTGGGGATATAAGGACATTGGAGAGGGCACAGCTGCTTTTTTTTTTTGGTCAGGAGAATGGTTTAAGGGAAAAATCAAGTGCATTTATCCTACTGGAGATGTAAACACTTATTTTGGAATGAATGAATGTAGGAACTTGGCAATGGTCACACTGTTAAAAATAGATGATTTGCACTGAATTTCACTGGTGTGGTCCCAGTGAGCTCCAGGAAGCCGGAGTCATATGTGAACTACAGATTATTTAATCTGCCTTAAGTAATAACTTTTGTTCATAGCTTTCCATGTTCTGATTTTACTCTCTACCTTCTCAAAACCCCTTAAATATTTGCAAAAGCAATGTAGACAAAGTTGTTGGGTAAAGGCCAGAGGAAACCAAATTACATGTTTAAATCACCCAAAAGTAGTTGGTTTCATGAGGGATTCACAGTAGGCAAGATACCACTTTATCACCCTTAATATCTGCTTAAAAACGATCCTGTAGATTATGAAGAAAACTCTGTAGCATGGGGAAATGATGGTTGTGGCATACTTTGTGATGTGAACAGGAAATGTTATCATGTTGTAGGTATAATGGATAGTGATAGGTTCTGTAAAATTCTTCTGGGATCGTTAGATGTAGCTTAGATTTTATAGCATCTAAGCCAGTGGAACACAACCTGAGATCTTCTGCTGCATGTGGCCCCAAAACCTTAAACCCCAGAAATAGAGGTTCTTGTCAAAAGGCACTTTTTGGATGTGAGAAACTGAAACATGATTGCATACATGATTTAGAAGATAATAATTAAGTTTAAATATAAACTCAATGAGCCAGATGGGTCATATTAATCCTTACAGTTATAGAACTGCGAACAGTGACAAATCATAATAAATGCTCTTTATCCAGGTACCTTGATCTTAACAGATTCTTACGTAAACCCAATTTTGCAGACCAAGAAATCTTGCACAAATTGGAGAAGGAAAAAATTCTTGTTTTCACCCCATCTCGGAGAGTGCAAGGGAGACGAGTTGTCTGCTACGATGACCGCTTTATAGTGAAATTGGCTTATGATTCTGATGGCATCATTGTGTCAAATGACAATTATCGTGACCTTCAAAATGAAAAGCCAGAATGGAAGAAATTCATAGAGGAACGGCTGCTTATGTATTCTTTTGTAAATGACAAGTATGTTTTTTTTCTTTTACAATTTATTTTATGCAATCTTCCTTAAAGAGATTTCCTCTCTTTTCTGGTGGGCCCAATTCTCATGATTCCAAATAGCATGGCCAAGAGTTGATGTCTGTGGATAATGGAAATAGTGGTTAACTGATTTAAGCATTCGGTCTGAATGTTTTCCTACATTCTTAGACTATTCTTCTTCTCCCCAGTAGGCTTTGTTCTAAACCAGAATAACACTTTTCCTCCTTGGTGGGGAACTGCTCCAACCCTGTTACCTTTTTGATTGGCACTTTTTGCTTCTGCTCTTCGGTATCTTTACTTTCACACGGAAGAGGGTTGATTGCCTGAAGCTGCTCTCTGAATTTACTATTGCTAAAATACAAGAGCTGTTAGGATCTTGGCTTAGGATAGGAAAGGTTCCTGGTTTGAGACTCAGCAGCAATATTTTAAATCATCATCAGTCTGTATTCTGTATGCAGTATATAAGTACAGTAAATAAATCTGTGCCATGGCGAGATTTGATTTAAGAATATTGTGTGGCCTTTTTACTCAATAGATCAGTGTTTCTCAACCTTGGGAACTTTAAGATGTGTGGACTTCAACTCCCAGAAGTTTGGGAATTGAAGTCCACACATCTTAAAGTTCTCAAGGTTGAGAAACACTGCACTAGATGCTTGCCCCTTTATAGATTGATGCTAGCCAGTTAAATTTCACTGTTTATTTTTCTAGGTTTATGCCACCTGACGATCCATTAGGACGCCACGGCCCTAGTCTTGAAAACTTCTTAAGGAAAAAGCCAGTTGTTCCAGAGCACAAAAAGCAGCCATGTCCTTATGGTGAGTAGGTAACTGGAGGGATTTGGAGAAAGTCAGTCTCATGTTCTCCAAAGGTTTGGGGAGCACTTTCAGGGTGCATGGCCAACAGTTATTTCATTGGGAATCTGTAGTCCCCCGAACCTCTGGAAGACTCATTGGAGAAGATTAAAATAAGAAATCCATATATTTAATAATTATTATTTTTACACACCATAATGGTGTTAAAGCAATACGCCTGTGGAGAAAATACATTTTAAAGCTACTTGGCTAATCAAGAATTTGCTCTGGATTTTTTTTTAATTGGGAGTCAGCATAGAAATATTATTTTTCTAGGTTTCTGCCACCTATAATAATAACACTAGTTGATCTTTGATAGCAAAGCCTTACTTTTCCTGCTCTCCCTTGCCTTTGGGGTTTCACTGATATCTACAGCCAAGAAACTCATTCTGTTTAGATAGGAATAGATCCTGATGATTCTCTTCAATCATTATGAACAATACTATAACAACAAAACTGTATTCTAATTTACACTGAGAGTTTGTGATCCCAAAGTATTTAGCTGACATCTGGTGACATGTATGTGGGAGATCTTTATTTAAGATCACACAATTCAAAGTGGACATTAAGGGACTGAGTGAGATGCTTTCCAGCATTATTATGAGCGAATATTTAAATAAAGTCATCTATTAGGCAAACCCAGCCCTTGCTGGAGCCTGTTCTTGCTGCCTTCAAGGAGCATTGTCAGCTGGATTGAAACCTTGACATGAATTTGGATCTGTTAACAAGGAAAACCGTGGACCTTTTATTCATGATGTAAGAAAGTACCTGTGTCTGTTATGTTTTTTCAGTAAGAGCAAAAGATTTCATGAGGGTTATCCCCCAGTTTAGATATATATATATCTATATATGCTATAGCTGGCAAATATATATCTATATTTGCTATAGCTGGCAAAGAACATGCCTAATCAGAGAGGACTTTTTTTTTTCCAGGAAAAAAATGCACCTACGGACACAAATGTAAATATTACCACCCAGAACGGACAAACCAGCCCCTGAGATCCGTTGCAGATGAGCTTCGCATTAGTGCAAAATTATCTGCTGTGAAAACGATGAGCGAAGGTGCGCTGGCCAAATGTGGCTCAGGGACAGCCCTTTGCAAGGGGGAGAACCCTTCAGAAGTGAAGCGCAATCCTCCGAAACGTCAGTCGGATCCAAGCATTCGGTCTGTCGCTGTGGACCCTGAGGACCGGCTGTCGATGATGCGGAAGCCTGAGGCAAGCTCCGTCCCGTCCCTTGTTTCGGCGCTAAGTGTCCCAACCCTTCCGCCTGCTAAAAGCCATGCAGTTGGAGCCTTAAATGCTCGGTCAGCGAGTAGCCCTGTGCCCGGTTCTTCTTCTCAGTTCACACATCAGAAATCCTCCCTAGAACACATGGCCAGCATGCAGTACCCTCCAATCCTGGTCACCAACAGCCATGGGGCTTCAATCAACTACACAGATCCATACCCCAAATATGAATCTTTGGGAGACCATGGCTATTATTCTATGCTCAACGACTTTTCCAGTTTGAGCATTAGCAACATACACAATGCGGATTATTATGGAGTTGATATAGACCAAGGTATCTACTCAAGAAATTCAAGCCCATGTCCTGACAGTTGCTTAAGCCATGCAAGTAATGATTCTTATTCTTCATATAGTGACCTGTACCTGGGCGTAGGGGATGTGAGTTCAGAGGATCACACGAAAGTTCCTCGGATTCCACCGCAAAGCCGACTTCAGCCTTCTTCTCATGGCTATCATGAGAGTTTAACTAGGGTACACAGCTACAGCACTGAAAGGTCTAAACATACTCCACGCAAACATTCAGCTTCTCATTTAGCACTACACGTCCAACACCCTCTTGTTGGAGCACGGTCCAGTTGCCCAGGGGACTACCCTGTGCCTCCAAACATGCACCCATCAGCCACTGCCCAGCCAAGCCGTGCACTGGTAATGACGAGGATGGATAGTGTTTCTGACTCAAGACTTTACGAAAGCAACCCGACTCGGCAGAAAAGGCCACCCCTCTGTCGAGAGCAACATGCCAGCTGGGACCCATTGCCATGTGCAACAGATGCCTACTCTTACCATTCCTACCCCTTGAGCAACAGTCTTATGCAACCATGTTATGAGCCCGTCATGGTGAGGAGCATGCCTGAGAAGATGGAACAGCTTTGGCGGAACCCTTGGATTGGCATCTGTGGGGAGCCCCAAGAGCCACGCGTTATCCCAGAGCACCAGTACCAGACCTATAAGAACCTCTGTAATATTTTTCCTGCTAGTGTCGTCCTTTCTGTAATGGAGAAGAATCCCCACATGACAGACGCGCAGCAGTTGGCGGCTATGATCGTTGCCAAGTTGAGAACAGGGCGCTAGAATGCGTTTCGCTTTGAATTCCTGGAGAGAAATATTGACTGCCCCAGACAAGCGTTCTGCAGGAGGTACCTGTGAACATATAGAGATATTCTCTGTTTGGGAATAGTTTCCAGCTGTGGTATACAACTCTGTACATTGTTTTGGCAATTACATTTATTATGTGTTTGAAGCATTCTGTAAAGGCAGATTGTACTATAAGTATTAAATAATTTTTTAAAGCTGGGATTTTTAAAAAGGTATTTTACAGGAAGTGCATACTTTTTGCATGGATGTATATTGTTTCTTGAATCCGAAAGGTCATATGTTGGTATGTCTGAAATGAGTCCCTCAAACGTGTTAGCAATTATATTGCATGAGTGAGTTTTATAGTTTGCAGCATCAGCTGGCAGGCTGCTCCAAGAAAATGCGCTGTGTGCATTCGAATATCCTCACAAACTGAAGGTTGGCCCGGTCTCCTTGTCCATCTCTTTCGAAGAGCTCATCTGAAGCCCAGTCAGCCGACGCGTCTTAGTGGTACATAGCGAGCACTTCTGACCTGAAGGAGTCTTGGGAGACGACTCAGTTCTCTGGGAAATTCATTTTGTGCACATAGGAGAAATCTGTTTGCTGTCCAAGTGAGGAAAACGGTATGACGGATCGGGGGGCAGGAGAATCATTGCATGGATGAAGCACAACTAAGGTGTGCTTTGTATTTTGGGGGGTAGCTAGTGCCCTTTGGGGACAAGGCCATCAGTGACAAATGGATTACATGAAAGCAAGTATAACAATTCTCAGCTAAATGTTGCTGTATCATTTGCACATAAATCTTGTTGAAATTGGCATGCATGGGTTTTAAAATACGATTAATTGTACAATTCAATTCGCTACAGTCCAAAGGCGGTAAAATTGTAGCATCCCAAATCAAATTCCACTTTTCAGTTTGGCCCAAATACCACTAAATAAGAAATAAGTTTTTAAAAATGATTAAACATTGATGATAGAAGGTAGAGTAGTTTTCAAAGGGATGCTACAGAATTGATGAGCTCGTTTTGGTTTTTCACTTTCAGATCCATGCAAAAGTATGCATTTGCTTCTTGGAGCTCTTTGGCTCAAATCATCTTTCTGTGGGTGGCAAATGTTTGGGTATTTTTGCTCAGGAGCAGGCAACTTTGTAGCTAAATGCCTCCCATAAGAGACATTTACACAGGTGTGGTGGCTTTTCCATTTTCTTTTTTTAAAGCTGCACTGAGTGGACACCCTTTTTAAATCCAAATGTGTATTTGAACATTTTGAACCATTACTAACTCGATATGTCTCGAGCTAGGACTTGTTGACTTCTACTGTAGTTTTTTTTCATGAAAGTCGAGAAGGCCAAGTTTCTGGCCTTTTGTTTCTTCATGAGAAGGTGTGACACTGCCTAAATGTTTCTGACTAGGAAACACATGGAATGTGAGGCTGCCGTCAGGGTTGTTTCTGGTGTTTTGAGAATGGCTTCCAAGCTGCTTTCTGATTATTTTTTTTGACCCAGGGGATTGGGGTTGCGGGGAACCGTCCCAATGGTGTTTCATGTTGCTGGAATAATTTCCAGTGATGTCAAGAATGGGTGCATAATTCTAGTCAGGGCCAGGTAGGATTCTTGAGGTGGCTCCAGACAGGGAGGATGCCACTAACTGGCGGGGTGCTGATTCCATCCCAGTGTCGTAACAAGCATAATTGTGCAAGGATACTAACAAGAGAGGAGACCTTGTTTAGTTTTTTGAGATTCTGCTGAACATGCAGAAAAAGGCTATCTGATGGCAGGGTCTCTCTGCAGAGAAGAAGGACATCAGTTCACCTGACAGCTTCTTTCTCAACCTCAGGAGATGTCACCTGCCTGTAGCTGTTCCACAGAGCCGTCTTCTGATTTTAAAGGCAGGCTTTATTTCCTGATAGGAAGATAGTTGTGGATCACCTGCCACAACCACTGCATTTGTCACGGTATAGCTTTTTTCCAGATTGCTACTTGGGACACACCAGTAGCCCATCTGTTGTGGCCGCTGATTGGATTGCCTTTGGAAAGGTTTGGGTGGTGCACTGTGCTGAGTGACTGTGTTGTGGGCCCTGAACATGACCAGTTTTATCCACCGTTTTAGAAGTGCTGAAGAGAAATGCAGATTAGCTTTTTGGTTTAATGTGCGCCCCGAACATTCTTACCATATTTGGCCTTTTTGTTGTAAAAAAAAATATCCAGTTATCCAAACCCTTTTATCAATTAGAACAAAATCCCATTTTTTGAGATGTCTTCTCTTTTAAAAGTAGCTGACAGCAACGCCTCAAATAACCAGAAACGACTTTTTGTTTGTTGATACAAATTGTATCTTTCTTGATTGTATAAAAAAAAATGTATAAAAGCCATCTCTAGATTAGCTCAATATTGTACTTTCATCACTATGTTTGTGACACTGTGTGTCAAAGGGGAGTAGCCCATGGAGGATTATAAATCTTTTTATTTAAAATGGGCACTTAACAGTTTATAGAAAAAAACAAAGGCAAATTTTGAAATCCATTTTATTACTATAACGTGCACCGCTAACGTGTGTGCATTTAAGAGCATTATGCTGCATAAGTTATATATTGTCTATTTATTAATACATGGCAAAGAATTTTTTTGTAAAATACTGGTGTTAATAAGGCTGATGTTCATATTTATACATGGCTATTGACAGTAAAACTGCTCTACATCCTGCTTTTGTTCTGAAAAGGATAACTACAGAAGTACGACTTAGGTTCAGTGTGAAATTTTGTGTGCTCACAATCTTTTGCATGGAATCCAATTTCTATATGTATAAAATAGGTGTTTTCCATTTTACCCCTATCATAAGGCAATCCTGTAGTCAATTCTAGCAGAATCTTTCAGCACACTGAATGCTGAACAAAAGCTACTGCATGAGTTTTTTTTAAAATTGGGGATGAAAATATTTTACTGTCAGTAAAAGCTATATACTTAGTTCTATATATTGTTAGCAATATATTAAAAATGTTACAAGTCTCTTGTGTGCTTTCTTGGGAAGAAATAAATATTGCTATGGAGAGGAAGTTGTATACTATCTGTAGCACCTCTTTTCCTCAAGGAAGGAATTCCCTTTTTCTAAAATGGTTTCAAAATATAATCTGTACAAGCAAAGAGAGAATGACAATTTTAAAATAGCGTCTGATTTTTTGCTGCTAATTATTTTTCACTGACTCTTATTACATTTGCTGATTTACTTATTTCTGTCTCCCTCCCTTGACTTTTTCAATACCAGTTCAAAACACTGACATTTCACTGCCTTCATCTCTCAGTGTTGAATTTCTTCTTATGTAGAAGGGATGGTATAAAAAATCACAACTGCCTGTATTGTAAATACAACATTTTGCTTTTAAATGCTCTTTTTGAGAGCACAGTATTTATTTATTTATTATTTTGTGTATCAAACAGCTGTAGCTTATCTATCTTGAAAAGGCCAGAAAACTTCATCCTATAAAGTATTTATTTGCATTTGAATTTTCTGTAATGTACTGTTGTATAATGCTTAATACTCAGTTTGCTTAGCTACTGAGATCTGGGGTAGGTGAAATAATTTTGAAATGCAAGCTTCAGTTAAGTGATTTTTGTAAATATTTAGTAGTGCTTTTTTGCTTGTACAGCTTCTGACTACTGTTAGTCCTGTTGTAGTATTTACAGTGGTTTACTTTTTTTCATTTGTAGAATTAAACATTACTCTAATTGTTCAAAAAAAAAATATATATATATATATAAAAAAAAAATCTTTGGGTTTTTTCTGTGGACCCAAATATAAGGTAAGTCTCAATGACAAAGAATGAAGATATACTTTAAAATTAATTGCCCTGGTCCAGTAAGAGGTGTGACAATGACTTTACTAAGTGCGAGGAGCAGATTGGACATCACAGGTGGTAGCCCAGGCCTCACCAACCTGTTTGGACCGTAGGTGGAGGCGAAAGAAAATGTGCATTCCCCTTCAGGTCACTAGCTCTGGGTCAGGGCTGGCACGCATGCAAATGTAAATAATATAACCTGCAGTGCTTTTATCTGTAGCTGCATGTTTAAGGCGTTCGTGGGCAAGGGCATATGTGCTGCCTTTCTTTTTAAGAAAGCATGTTTATAACTGAAATGGCCAAGATAAGTACCAAAGCATCAGCTTCTGGGAGAAAGCCGAGTTTTTCCCTTTATGAGATAATTCATGCCTTTGCACTTTGCACTGATACAGATCTGCAGGCAGCTGATTGTAGATACCTCCTTATCAAACCAGTGATGTACCCAAGCAACGTTTGCTTGGTCTAGAGTTATCTTGGTTGCTTTCTGGTGTCACTGATCACGGAGTGAGTACACTCGATGTCACTGTGGGAATGTTTGTCCCCTATACCAGTAGCACACATCTTTGTACATGCCTGCTTGTGAGAGGAACAGTGTTCATGGCACTGTTGATGGACTACCAACTTGGCATAATGCTGTAGTCTGAACTACCAGATAAGGGCACAAAAGCAGCACAACTCTTTACTATTGAATGCTTAGCGCATTGGGGACATGGTTAGAAGACTTGCCCAATGGTACACTCCTGTGAGAGTTAGTAAGTAACTGTATTGTGTGGCTTTGCAAGAACCATAACTAAAGTCTTAGAATGCTCAATGGCACTTGTTGGATAGAACCTCAGGCGGCTTATATCTTGGCCATTTTAAACTTTCTCCCTCTTTCATGGGCTGCTACTTCTCCATGCACGTGCTTGTTTGTTCCTGCAGTTTCTTTGAGGATGCTAACGATCACTTAACCTGCTTACCATGACCCCAGCCTGCTTGATCCTTTGGTTTCTAGGGACCAGTCTGGGTAAGAATGTTTATTCAATCATTATCTTAGGACTTTCCCCCACCTTTGTTCGAATAGCTCCAATTTCTGTGTAACCCTTTGTAGAGATGCTTTATATCCAGGTATTAATGTGTACTCAATAAATGATCCACCAGCTCAGTCTCTGAAACAGCTTGTGTGTTTCCTCTTTGTTAAAAAACAAACAAAAAAACAGTTGCAGTTTCATAGATGGCTTCACAATAAGCTTAAATCTGTTCTGAAGTTCAGATCTGGGACATAAACAGCAGGTGTATGCATTTTAAAATGCTTTTTAAAGCCTTAAGAGAACCTTACATAGCAACAACGATGTGCTATCCAAATCTATGAATTACATATGCTTTTTTTTTTTTTATAAAAAAGGGACACACATTATCTGCCAAAAAATATTAAATGTTTTATTAAAGTACAAGAATGAGCTTAAACAGTGGGCAGTTCTGTTGTGTGGATTAACTGTGCCCGCCTCTCCACAACCCTTAAATGTCCAGGAGGAACTGTCTAGTGTGGAGAATTAACTCCACTGCACCAAAACAACTTGCAAAGAGCAGGCACGGCACTCCTCCTCAAGTGGCAAGAAAAGCCTCCCTTTATGTTGTATCGCTGGCACAGAATCTCCCCTCAGAAAAGCTGAATCCCACTCTTTAACTTGTGAAGCTCGCTCTGGGTCCATAAGAGTCCTGCCGCAAGAAAGCCAGACCATTCTGACGAGCTGTAGAAAAAAGAAACGGACAACAGTGAGCTGAAAGAACCACGGCACTTAATCACCTCACCAAGTGTGTTCTGGTTACATCATGTGGCAAAAACTGGAGGAAAGGAACCCTGTCTTCTCCACAGACACACGTGGAATATACTTATGGGGCGTAGAAGGGAGGCAAGTTAACGACTGAATCTGACTGGACACAAGAAAGAGCAGAAAGGATTTATTTCTCTGCCCTTACTGTGTCCTCTGTGCCCTGTCCCTTCTAGGTCAGAAGGGATCGATGGAGTACCTGCACGGTTGCTGGGAGGTCTCCCCTCAACACCTGGTAAATAAAGTTGGACTCCAGCTGACCAGGTTCTGTAGAGGTGACTGAGGCATGGTCTTGAAATGTTATCTGGGAAGAGTTCAGGTCTCCTGGTCCTGAAGTGAACAGGGTCCTTGGTGTGGTGGGTGTGGCCACCTATATTTTAGATCCACGCCCCTCCTGGTTGGGTCCAAGTGGTGGTTAATGCCTCTTTGCAGGAGGGGGTTGTACTGCCAGCATTGAAGGAGGGGGTGGTGTACCCCCTTTTCAAGAAGCCATACTTGGACTCAACAGTATTAGACAACTTTAGTCCAGTCTTCAACCTTCCCTTTTTAGAGAAGGTGGTTGAGAGGGTGGTTGGCGGTCAGCTACAAAGGGCTCTGAATGAAATGGATTATCTGAATCCTTTTCAGTCTGGGGTACCGCACTGAAACAGCATTAGCCTTGCTTGTAGATGACCTTTAGAGCGCTCAGGATGGGGTAGCGCAACCATTTTGGCCCTCCGGGAATCTGCCAGCAGCTTTCAATGCCATCAACCACAGCATCCTTCTGGACTGGCTTCAGGGGATGAGAGCGGGAGGCACTATTGCGCAGTGGATCTCCTCCTTCCTGCAGGGCCAGTTCCAGCCAGTCCCTGCAGTGTGAGGGGCCCTAGGGCTCAGGTCTTTTGCCTCTCCTCTTTAACATCTACATTAAACCGTTGGGGGAGGTCATCTGCTGGCATAGGGTGCAGAATCATCACTATGCTGATGATACCCAGCTATACATCTACACCCCTAACCAGGCAGGTGATACAGTGTTGGCCGAGTGCCTGGAGGCTGTAAGGGTCTGGATGGAGAGAAAATGGCTTTGACTCAACCCTGGCAAGATGGAGTGGTTTTGAGTCTTTGTCCCCCACCCCTGGGTGATATGTCACCTTTGACTGCATGGGGTGGCACTTCCCTGGACTGAGCTGGTATGCAATTTGGGGGTCCTCCTAGACCTGGACCGGGAGGCCTTTGCTCATGGTCATTCATGCCTTGGCCATTTCCTGCTTGGATTACTGCAATGCACTCTACATGGGGCTGCCTTGAAGGCCACCTGAAAGTTACAACTGGTCCAGAATGCGGCAGCGTGTGTGGTGATGAGTGCCCCTAGGTCTGCTCATGTTACACCCCTGTTGCACGAGCTGCACTGGCTCCGTTTCCTTCCAAGTACAATTCAATTCATTACCTTTAAAGCCTTCCATAGCACAGGACCAGGTTATTTGTGGGACTGTCTCTCCCTAAGGGCATCTGCACATCCTACCAGATTGGATAGGGTGGGCATGATCCTAGTCCCTTCCCTTAAAGGTTGCCATCTTACGGGACCTAGGAAGTGTGCCTTTTCCCTGCCCTATGGAATGTCCATCCCCCTGAGGTTCAGCAGGTCCCCACCCTTTTAATCTTCTGAAAAGCACTTCAGACCTGGTTTGCCCCCCAAGTACTGGGATAAGGTAAGATTGGTGGGATGAACTTCTTGTGGGCTGCACTGGAAAGTTCAGCTGTGCTGCTGATCTTTTGGTTTTAATGTTTTCTATTGTGGAGAGAGATTGTTTTACTTTGGGTTTGTGAGCTGTCCAGAGTTTGGTTCAAGATGGTTGGCTATATAAAAATAAAGTATCTATTTTATCAGCTTGTCGTTTTACACACTGGTGTTATGGTTATTGATTATGGTTTTGTTTTCCTGTTTATTTTTGTTGTATGCTGCCAGAGTCGTGTTTGAGTTGGACAGCCATATAAATATTTGTAATCAATCGATCAATCAAAACACTGGAATCCAGAGAAATTCAACCACAGAAATTAAGCAATTTGTGGCTTAGTGCGCTGGGAGACAGTTTGGCAACCTACTCATGAGATAGAGCAAGAACAATACAGTGAGCAATGTAATTACAGAAGCTCTTTCTTCCAACTACTAGGATCACCTCCCCCAATTATTCCTTCCAGATTCTGAGATTTTAGCAGCTGGTCAAAGCTTTTGAGTATATTGGTGTACATGTAAGTGCTACAAACTTGATTTTTTAAAAAGAAGAGGGGTAATATCTGTGGTTTTCTTGTCCCATAAAACAGTGGTATAAATTAACTTGGTAATGCCCCGATCTACTAATCTTGACTCAGAAATTACAGAGTTCTCAGTATAATGTTCCTAAGCTACTTTTCATACTGGCCACCCACCTACTTGCTATCCTTCAAAATTTAATTTTCATGATGAAACAGTAATACTGCTATACTTTGTGCTCCTCTGAAGAATTCTAATTGTCTAAGATCTGACCTTAAGAGTTCAAGCCTTTTTACCCACTGATGTTCTGCATCCAACATTGCCCCACATAACTGGTACTCTATGAAATCCAAACCAACACTCAGTAACAGTCTAGCCAGATTTGATGTCAAGATGGAATATAGACATAGATTTTTTGATATAACCAACATTGAATGTTATATAAAATGGACTTCACACTCTTGAGAAGAAGTGGTGCAGAGGAAGAATGTAACTTCAGTGGCACTGCTTCAGTGGCACTGCTCTGAACTTAGAATGGCGAAAGCTTTCTGAAAGAAATGTTTATGCCTGTTCTGAAAGCATTGCTGTCCAACCTCAATTTCTCCCGGAAAGCAGATGCATCCTGTGCGTCAGTCAAGTTCTTCCTCTTTGGCTTGCAAAAGCAGACGGGGAAAACAGACGCTAACCCCATTCAGCATCTCTCTACCCTTCAGCAACAGGTGCAAACTCCAGGACTAACAGCTGACAGGATATCACCCTGCCTGCTCGCAAGGAAATCTGCTTCCTGAGCATGATTTCAAAGTGAGAATAACCTCCTTTTCTTACTCTAAAGACTATAAACCACACCTTGTTATTTAAATGTTTCTTCAAACTCCTCGTCATGGGGCGAGCGCCCTTCTGCTTGTTTGCAAGAGCAGATGCTGTTAAGGATTTGATTGAAACCTCAAGGCAGATGACAGCAAAGGGAGGGAGAGAACCGCAAACAGATAGACAGAATCAATGGGGTGCTGCAACTGGTTGTGTGAACTGGTTGCCAAGCACCCAGATTGCGATCATGTGACTGCAGAGGTGCTGGGATGACCAGAATTCCAAGGACTAGTCGTAACCATTCATTCAGTGCCGTCGTAACTTCAAATTATCACTGAATATATGGTTGTAGGTCAAGGACTACTTGTAGTAACACTGGTCTGGATTTAAGCCTTCTTAGTCTATCAGCTACTTTAAAGAAGGAAAAAAGTTTCTTTTGGATTTCTGGAAATCAGTGCATTATCTCTCCCAAATTCTCTGTGTCCAAAGAACTACCCACTTGAGTCTCCGTGTCTGAAAAGTTACAGACCCAAGGTGCCATCAAAAGCAAAATCTGGGAAGTGCAACAAAGGCTCCATCTTATTAAAAGTGGGTCCTTGTACATCAATCAAATACCTGCAAATCTGACAGATTTACAGTAAATGCCCTAAAATGGCTGATAAGGGCTTCCCCATTTTCAGATGGATACAAGTTCTGAACATGCTAATGATAGTCAACGTTCGCAGATGCATGTCTGCTCCAAACTTATCAAAGTGACATTCATTGTAACATACACACAGATAGTCCTTGCTTAACAACCATTCATTTAATGAAGGTTTGAAATTATCATGGCCTCGGAAAGGGTCTTTAAGGCCCATAAAGCACTTCTGGCTGTTGTAAAACATCACGCTGTGTCCCCCGCCCCCCGCAGTCACATGGCCCCATTTCAGGCGCTTGGCAAGCGGCTCCCATTTACGACCAGTTGCCAAGCGCCCTGCGAACATGTGATCACCATTTGCCATCTTCTCTGCCAGCTTCCCCACTGGAAGCTGGCAGGGAAGGTTGCAAGTGGAGGGGATGTGGCAGTGGAGAGTTTCGGAGCTCAGATCTTCAGGATTTGAGATCCCTACCTTCTCACTGCTGCGAGGTTTCCCCTTCCCTTTTAGCGGTGTGAAGGCACGGACCTCAAATCTTCAGGTGCAGAACAGGTGCTCTGTCCACCGCTGAGAGAGGGGAGGGGAAAGAGGATGGAGTGAGAGCTGTCTGCTGAAATCCTTCAGCAGACAGCTGTTTTGCTCCATCCACTTAATGACCTGAGAGATTGCTTAACAACTGCAACTGGGAGTGCCCGGATTACAGTCATTAAGCGAAGCAGTCACTGGGTGTCTCGCTTAATGACAGCTTCGCTCAGTGACCAAGTTTCTAGTCTCAGTTGTGGTTGTTAGGCAAGGACTACCTGTACTTCAGGCACTTGGAGAGGCACAAAGAAAAGGAACTTCAACCCTTAGCACAACTGTGACTCATCCATCACACTTCTGCCTCTCCATGAAGCAAATAATTGTGTATGGCCACTGAGGAAGCAAAGAGGCCATTCTTTAAGTTTTTAGTAATTTCTGGTTCTATTTTTTCCTCCCTTGGGTGTCCTTTCTAGAGCTGTTGGGTTGAGCCTGGCCATTCTGTACCATCTTCAACCTGTGCTAAAATAATCCCAAAGAGGCAGGCCATCCTCTTCAGCACCCTTTAGCCCACAGGGCTATGGCGGTTGTTAAAAGGCATTAAGTACTCTTTACTACCATGATTAAATGGCCTGAAGTAAGGTCAAGGGAAAATTTTCACATTATCACATTAGATGACATTCAGAAGAAGTAGTCCTTGGTCTTTTACAGCAAGCAAAGAGCAAACAGGCTCTAAAAACTGAGAAAGGGCCAGTATGTTCCATACTGGTGAACATCAGCTACCAGGAAACTGTGCTGACACTGCAACAACTTAGACATGACTCATAGTCCTTGACAGTCCTCTATTATTGCACAATTCTTTTAAATTTGATTAACAAGTAATGAGATGGCATCAGGATTTGCAACTGTGAGAAAAATTCCCAAGCCACTTTCTCCCTCTACTGTATCAGATTCCTTCTTTTTGCTTGTTTTTCAGATGATACTTAGCTGCAACTAGGCCTCTTTCATTAGATTCCTATAGTTCTGTAGGAATTGAGCTATAAAATGAATATATTATGAAATGTCTGACTTGCTCTGCTCTGCTCTGATGTAAGCAGTAGAGGCACACAGAATGGCAAAACTTGGCTGGCATTTGCATCATTTATTGGGATCTACAGTGGGGCAAAAAAGTATTTAGTCAGCCACCAATTGTGCAAGTTCTCCCACTTA